CTGAATATGCCCCTGTCCGCAAGTCGCATCCAACAGGCACGTGCATATTGCCAGCCAGCCCACCAACTTCAATCTTCGTGCCAAGGAACAGGCCTCACAATGGGTCTTCGTCCGGCTGGCCTCCGGATGGCCAGCCATGATCATGTCCCGACACGTTCACGAGGTGGGCTGGTGGATATGCCACGCTAAGGGATCTATTGTCAATGTTCGCACGCACCACGCAGCAGTCTTCGGGTGATAACAAGCCACATACACATACGTGCGCACGCGGGCATAACGTGGCGACTCGAACTTTAGTCAGTGCACAGCATCTCCCATTGCTTCATTGCACCTCGACTTGCAACGGCTGCAGCGCAAGTATGGTATCTTGCAGCACGTCGACGATATGTCTGGACTGAGTCGAGTCCATGCACGCCCCGGAAATCACCGTGGCCGCGAGGGGTTTCGTCCCCAGTTTGACAGCGGTGGTCGGGGGTGTTCAATCCGTTCTCACCGGCGCCTCGGATCGCCCAACGGCAACCAGGGTCCAGTGGCCTGCCTCTTCCTCACGACTCTATGGCCCTCACGCAAAATCTGCCCTTGGCCGACCTGAGCGACCCGCACTGTGACCCGTATTTTCCAATGTTCAACGCTCCCTCCCCATGCTACGAATACTGGATTCGCGACAACATCTTCGGCGTCAGGTATGCGGTCTTCGGATTCGACATTCAGTCCGCAGGGCGGCTTGGCGATGAAGAGCAGGGACAGAAGAGTGCAAATGGCGATTCGACTCCGAACCGTCCGTCGCTAGCTTGGCTGCCGAAAATGCTCGTCCATTCTCTCGCCGTTTGAGCCACTCTGCATTTCAAGCATGATCCTGATGACGTCCGTCGATACAGCTAGGAACGCTTCTGTTGCGAATAGTGTGTGTAGCAAACGCATGGGTCTAGTTGCAGCTATTGTGAAAGACGGCGTTACACCCCCCTCATGTCAAAGTCAGCTAAGGCCTAGGAACGTTTGCCAACAGCACAGAAGCATTCGAACTCAAAGTTTAGTTCACCTACGAAGCTACGAAGTCCTATTGAACCTGATAGTCCACGTCGCAGCGGACATCTCCCCTGTCGTCCAATGTCGCCTTGGGAACGCAGGTGGAGAGGGACTTTTTGAACGCTCAATGTCGGCAGCGTCACAACTTTTACAAGGTATTGGACAAGGGTCCCGGCATCAGATCTGACCTCGTTCTAGCCTCCCTCCGTCGCGGACATGGCAGGCGGAAGCAAAGTTCTCATCCACTCCTCTATCACTATCCATCGAGCTCGGGCACATCGATCCACTCAATACTTGTGTCCAGGCTCATTAGTCATTCCTCCAGCACAACATCATACATGGGGAATGGAGGTCCCCGTTTAACGGTAACCTCCGTTATCCGCGTAAACTCTCACTACCAACAGAGCACAGCTTAGACTAGATTGGTCGAGAAGTCAATTTCCATCCCCCATCGCTGGGCGAGCATACCCAGGTACTGGTTACTAACGCCCCGTCTTCATCTGCAATGGAACAACATTGTCACCAACAAGTGCCTGCACGGGGAAGCAGTCCGGACCATGGGAGCTTCAGGAACTTCAACCCCGCTAGCTCGTAGCAGGGGCCAGATGAAGGCTTAGCGTCAAAAATGGACACCGCGTCTGAGAATTGATACCAACCGGATCACCGGTCCTCCAGTCTGGAGAACTTGCAAGTCGTAACTGAATTTGTCGAGAACATCTGTCTCGAATCACGGCATCCCACGGTTTTCACCTCGGCCTAGGGGAAGAGGAGTCGGCCGAAGACACAGATTTCGCCCGAGTACAAACGTCTGAACCCCGGATCTGTTCCAGAGCACATGGCAGTTCCGACGAAATCGAAACACCTTTCTCAAACAGTTGCACTCTGTCTCGCCTGAGGAATACCAGGTCGGCATCGCAGAGCATGAGTTTATCCACTCTAATCTGCCATTGCTGACCCCTCGCACTTCAGATGCCTAGCCGAAGAAACGGACCCGGAGGTCGAGCCCGTCTCCGCGATATCTCGGGAAGCTGACCCACATGCCCAGATAGAGTTCCGTGATTGTGCGATCAGCGCCTCGACAATGCCTGGCCTGCTCTTTCTATTACTCTGGTCTCAGTGTGATGGAAGACCGCTGATTGAGGGCGGGCCCAAAGGCGTTTTTGGTCAGATCTCATTGTCTCGCAGCAGTTCCGCCAGCTCTTTGCGAGATTATGAGCTTCTGTTTTGTACGCCCCGTCATTCTGGAGGACGAGTGCACCCTGCATACGCCCTGCAATCTACTAACTCAAGCCTGAAGGAGTTGGTCGCCTGTTGGTTCTCTCAACTGAGGCGAGCGTGCCGGGTTGCATGCACCCAGAAACCCGGAAAAGCGCATGTTCATTGGGTGATGGTCCTATCATCAACCCCAGCAAATGTGACAAACAAGTCCAGAGGAAGCAAACATGAACTCTTGGGAGGCTTTCGCCCCACCACAATATCACTGATCAGTGCAATTGTGGCGCCGGGGATCAGGAACAGGATCCGATCTTCACCGGTGGCAGCCTTGGCTTTATCCTCCTGGCTGGCTTCGGCGCCTGTTTCTTGGGCGTGTTGCCGTCTTGACGCAGGATTTGGTTGCAGGCCGGAGCCCGTCCGGCGTTCTGGCCGATCCGCGGCCTTCATCCTGGCTTCCGCTCATGGTTGCATACGCGGCTGCATAAGAGGGATCAACCTAAACCCAGGCACTGCGGGATGTCGTTGGTTCGTTGAACACAATAACTCAGATATGCAATCATCTGGGAGAAGATCCAACGGACAACGGAAACCCAGGTTTTCTCCTAGGAAGGCGCAGCATTTATGACGTCCTGATGTACCACTCCCAAACTAAAAGAGTTGTTGTATTCACTCTTTGACTGCTGTAACAAGATCTCCACTCTGTGCAATTGACGAGACTTTGAGAAAACCAGGCCCCAGGCAAGCAAACTGCATGTTCGAGGTCCGTCGCGCACCTAGCGCACGACCACTCCTCAACGTGCTTCCCCGGGAGCGGTTGGACCCTGAGGCGGGCAAACAATCCCGACTTTCTCCACTCCACCATCCAATCTCGGCCATTCACTCACTCATTTTCACGCCGTCTCATGTTAGTGGCTCTTCGCGTCGACCTCGACGAGATGGCTGAACTCTTTTTTACTACTCGACAAACTTGGCCCTATGCCACCAGAATAGCTGAGGAATACTTGTGCCAGGGCTTGTTTCCAATCCAGGGAACCGGCCAGAATGCCCCTGTTTCCTGCGCGCGCGCGCGTCATGGAGCGCATCTTCAATCGATGAGGTAATCGGCATGCAAAGCAGGTTGTTGTTCAATCTCCAAACTAAGCAGCCGCATTCTTCGGTGTGTGTCAATGTGGCTGTTAAGGCATAGCTGAGGGCTGGTGTCTCATCAACAATTTCCTGGCAATGCGCAATGACGTTTGTTTGACGGGAAAGGGCCGCAGGCGAGGTATTATCAATCATGATTTTCAGTCTCGTGCACGCTCGGTGAGCACAGACTAGACACTTCAGGTGCTCTCTGAGGTCTCCACGAACCACAGCTATCAACTAATACGGCATATGTGCTGTGCCACGAGGATGAATGCGACTGACTTGGGGGTGTGTCAAGCAGGCCGCGTGAGGAGGTCGTCGAACTATCGGTTGACCAAGCTGCCAACCTGCAACAATCATCAGACTGCTAATTCTGACGCCCGCGAATGCCGCCGCTCCGAGGAAGTCAGGCTGCTTACGACAGCGTCGTGAGACCGAGGTGTGCCGCGATGCTGAAAAGAGACGGATGATTTCCCAGTCGGCGACCACTAGAGGCGCCCAGATCTTCGAAGCATGGTGTCCAGCTTAATTCAGGATCAGACCTAGCAGTCTCGTCTGTGCAGCCATTCTCTTCGAATGCTGGGGGAGGAGAGTAATTACAGCTTATCCGCTAGGACGTTCTTCAGGCCTAGCCTGCGAGCTGAAGAAAACAATTGGCCCGGGGGCGACGCCGATTTGTGGCAGCTTACTGCCCTATCGACGCCGGCGAGGGTTGGCTCAGGGTCCTGTAGCCACTCTGTGTGTGTGGCTTGTTCTCATCAAGAGAGAAAGAGTTCGTGCTGTTTTTAGCCTGGCACGAACGGCTGTAACAGGGTTTCGGGGGGCGAAAATGCGGCCGTCGCATGGAATTGAGACATTCCCTCCAAGCTAGGAACTGGGGGATGAACATGCGATTGTTGGCCAAAAGGCGGGCGGCCAGAGCGCTTCTTAGCTCCGAAGCACCGAAGCAGGTCCCTGACGATCTGGCTCTCGTCCTGGGACCGTCAACCAAAGAGAAAGCTTCGGGATTCCTCATTGGGCGAGGAGATGGCCCGATGAACGAGTGATCTGCCTCGGGAAGTCGGCGAGCAAATGAGGTTTTGTTCATGATACGGTGATTTCAATTGGTATCTTAATTTCGCTGCTAAGTACATGTCTCAGAGTTCGTCATTTCGCATCATTAATAGACTAGCTCAGAACTCCCATCCCCCTCAACGGTTTGCGCAAAACCGCTAAAGAATATTTACGAGAAAGGTAAGATCGTCGAGAAGAGAACAAAGGCTCAAGGTCCTTCGAGACTAACTGGAGCCTCCTTTGAGAAGAGAAAAGGTCGTTTTCTGTCTTGGCGTTGCTTTTGGTTCAGACACCAGACGAAGAAAAGAGGACCCTGATTCATGAATCATGCTGCTGCTGGGGTTACGGGTCCATTTCGGACTCGCACCTGACCTCGCTCTCCGGCACACGGCGACCTTGGAGATATAATGCCGATCGTTAAAGGGAACTGCCATCGCTCCGGGTTGGCAGGATACCGAAAATAAAACCAGCATGGATCTGCAAGCAAAGGATCACGGGCTGGCTGCATGAACGACACTGCTCGGCACATGACAGCACCGCCCTGACACTGTAGCCGCCACCACTTACTTGCCACACATCATCTACTGCGGCGCATAGACGAACGCCAGTCTGTCAATATTGTCACCGTCCCGTCCCAGGAAGCCGACAATCTGCCATCCTGAGGGGGCCGTGTGCGTCGCGCAGTCTGACGTGGACGCGCCGGCCTCGAGCGTCTTGCCGGCGCTGGTGGTGGCCTGGATGTAGAAGTTGCGCGTCTGGCCGTCCTTCTGGCCCCAGCACAGCTTCGCGGCGGTCCAGAACTCGGAGTCGCCCAGGGTCAGCGTGGCGGCGGTGCCGCCGGTGCCGCCGTGCGTGAAGACGGTGCCGTCGGCGAGGGTGAGGCCGACGGAGTCGAGGCGGTTGGCGCCGTGGAAGGTGAGCACGGAGGCCTTGGGCTTGGTCTTGCCGGCGAGGGCGGTCAGGTCGGAGAACCAGTTGCCGTGGGGCCCGCCGGAGAAGTCGGACTGGCGGAGGGTGGAGGACAGGGACCAGGTGAAGTTGCCGGTGACCGGGTTGTGGTCGGTCAGGATGCTGCCGTTGGACTGCAGGAACTTTGAGCTCTCGTAGGCGAAGTGGGTGGCCTTGACGTCGAGGATGGGGTTGCCGCGGTAGAAGATCTTGTCGACGGTCTCGCAGTAGTTTGTGGTGCTGGGGTTGGCGCAGAGGGTCTCCTCGGTAGGGACGACGCCGTTGCGCTCGAGCTGCAGCCAGACGTCCGTCATGCCGTTCTGCGAGGCGAAGACGCCGATGTTGTCCGAGGTGCGGGTGTAGCGCGAGTTGGTGTCGCCGAAGATGAGGACGGCGTTGCCGGAGGAGTTTGCGTCGATGTAGTCGGCGACCTGGTGCAGGTTGCTGTTGCGGGCCGTGAGGTCGTCGGCCTCGGTGCCGGCGTCGGTGTGCAGGTTGTAGATGTCGACGTAGACGCCCTCGGCGATGCGGGCGCGGATGAAGGTGAAGCCCTTGGGGGTCAGGCAGTCGGAGCCGGAGGCGTTGGAGCACGTGTTCCACTTGATGCGCTCGAAGTCGATCCAGTCAAAGTTGGCGAGGGTGTTGAGGCCGGAGCCGAAGGGGACGCCGCCCGAGGTCGCGGTGCGGTAGGCATGGTTGTCCGTCTCGTAGATGTAGGCGTGGTAGTTGAAGTCCTAAATTTGGGTGCATGATGCGTTAGGTTCATGATGCTTATTTTTGTCTTTTTGGGGCAGGTCTGCAAGGCGCAATCGTTTATTCTGAAACAGTGACATCGTGGGGTGGTGGGTTTGGTGTTGAGAGGCCTCTTGAGGAGAGTCATGCTTTGGGGGATGGTCCCTGGTGCATTGTTGGGATCGGAGCAACTGTTGGCTCATGCGCAAAAGCTTTTTCTTATTTCTCACGTGTCGCTTCTCAGGGATAAGGGGTTGATGAAGCGCGCGAATAGCATCCTCGCTTGGAGATTGGGAAAGAAGGGTTTTTGTGAGGTTTTGTTTTTGCTCACCTCTTGGACGTTGATGAAGTCATAGCCGTACTTTGCAAAGTAGGATCCGATGGTCCTGGAGTTTGTCGTCTTGTCGCCGGGGACCTCGTTGTTCTGGAGGATCTCTGGGAGACCAGCGACGTTCATCGCGAGGACGGTGAAGTCGCCGGATGTCGCCTGAGCGGAGGCGACGCCTGACATGGAGGAGATGGCACCTCCGGCGAGGAGCATCTTGATGCTGGAGGACTTCATGGCTGCTAGCTTTCTCTGAACGAATGTGGTGATGATGCTTCTGCGTGATGGAATACTCCGAAAAATTAGACGACGGACGGGAGAGCAGATATAGCTTTCGGCCAATTTTCGAGCAGAGGAAGCAAAAGAGAAAACGAGGAATGGCACAGCAATAGCGACGATAATAGACCAGTGGCGGAGCTGGGACCAAGTGTTGAATTTATTAAAGCTGAAGATCATTCGCATGGAGATGAACCGGTTTCTAGGCGAGGTGAACCCCGCAATATGGGATGGTTTTAGCTTCACTCGTTTACACTAAAGATGGGATCAATAATAGGCATGTTTTTTTTACTGCTCATGACAGGCCGAATGAATCGAGAAGGTGACAGTGACAGCACCACCACCGCTGCTGTGGTGGGTTGGGACATGGCATTGGCATGGGCTCTACACGGCTCGTGATGGTCATTTTGGGATATTCTGCCCAGAATCTCGCGAGCCCCCTCACCGACACATTGTAGGACTCAAATTGCACAGCGGCAGTTGTGACCGCTTTTGGGGTTAGCATGGAGAGCGCCCCTGGTCTTATCGGGTTGGCGATGTGACGCTGTCAGCAGCGTGTTCAGGCACATGGCGGAGTTCGTTGGTCGATGGGTGATGGGACGAGGGACGGGCAGGGGGGCTTGAGGCCTTGAGAGCCTGAGAGGTGGGATTTATTTGGGCGCTATGTGACTGTTGTCGGGGTGGGAGGCCGATGATGGAGCTTGATGGAGGGCTCGTGATGGATTGGATGACGAATTTTGGGTGGTAGTTCGTCCTGGGCGATGGTAGTCTTTGGGAGATTGGAGATCTCGGCGGGTGCTGCCGTTTGCCGAGGCCTTTAGGAAGCTGGTCACGAAGGCATGTTGAGGATGTGATTGGGCAGTAAGGAGAGTCTTTGGAGCTATTCACTACACGTGGATGGGAAACTCGTTCTAGAGTTCCATTACTCTAATCTTGTTTGCCTTTCTCGCCTTTACTCATTTGAATACCGAAGGGGTCTTTTATCGGTTCACGTGGATCCACGTGGAGACGTTGGATTATGAGATTCGTTCAAGCGGGCATATCCCATGTTAATGTGGACTTGCCCAATATTTCTTTCTTTTGGGTCGCTTTTTCTTCAGCGGTAACGGTGAGGAAAAGGACCCGCGCTGGGCAGAAATATATTGAATGTGACCCCCAAAATCGGTCGGTACGCGGAAATCTGGCGAAAGGGAGCCGGCGACCGGACCACGATGCGGTCATGGAACCTATCTGCAGACCCGAGCCCCTCGTGTCCCTCGGCCGAGTTTGCCGGATCAACGAAATGAGGATCCCCACTGCCCTTAAACGAATGGGGAGGGTGGCACTTTCAGGAACGGTCGCAAGTCATGTCTCGAGATATGTCCGAACGAACGAACCTGAATGTTCATGTTGTATGAACTTGCGGAAAGGAGATGGGATGAATTGTCTCCGCTGCCGGATGACGGCGCGGCCTCGGATGAGTTTTGGATGAGGGTTGACGTGAACTACATACAACACAACGAACGCTTCCGGCAAACAGCAATCTCTCGTTCGGAACCGCTGGCCGAAGGCGCGATTCAGCTTCGATTGTGCGGGCATCCGTTGACTATATCTGCGACAGGGCGTGAAGAATGTTGGCTTGGCGGTAATGCAGCCATCTGGAAGACGTTATCCAAGGCAAGACCAGGGCCATGGCAGGGCTTCGCCGGCGAGCGATTTGTCGTTTCGGCGGTGGTCTGGGGTGGCCGGCCCTACGAGCAGTGCCTCTCTTTCGCCCCCGACCCCCGACCCGGCGACGTTTGCGAACGGAGCCTCCCGGTTTTTGGGGGTAGGCCGCGGTTCGCGGTCGTTGCCCGGGGGCTTATTTCCTGTGCGGCTTGATGATTACGTGCTTTTTTGGGGTGCCGAAGCCAAACTTGTGTCCGCCGAACTACAAAACATTACGGGGCTGTATGCTTTCTTTTGTTGCATGTACTGCTCTCCCAATGATCTGGAACAGCCCCGCCGCTGCTGCACTTAGCCGAAGCTCCCATTTTTAGAGTCGGTCCCTCAGGTTAGGCATAGGCAGATAGTCTTTTTGCATGGCGGCCTTCATCTATGAAGGTTTCCAGGGAAGATGGAGGGGGGCCCGGCGAAACGATCAAGCCACTGTGGAGATGAACGCCATCTTTGTCGAACGACTGCTCATAAGAAAACTCAAATCAAGAGAGATTGATCGAGGGAGCGGGTTAGTGAGATATTGTGATACCAGCGGTTCCAGGCCTTTGTTCCTGGCGGTGTTTCGGGCTAAGGAAGTCTGCCGCCACGCAGTGTGGCGGCTGGGTCGGCGTGTGTTTTCTTGGCTTAGGGCCATTTTAAGAAATTCCATTTTAGAGATGGCGCGCGCGCGCTTATTCAGTATTGAATAGGCTTTGTGATATGCTGCTATCTATGGCGGTTGATGGCGGCAGATAGATGAAGGCAAGGAAGACGTCATGACTCGAAATGGTTGTCGCGTGGCTGCAATCGCCATCTACGTGCGACTTAATGGACGTCACGACTCTCACTGCGGGCGACTGACTGACTTGCCATTGCCTCAGTGGACACAGGGAGGCGAAGTACGCGGTAAGAGGAATAATAGCAGTGTGATAGGTGACAGGCAGATAGCATCATGGCCTTGGTTGAATGATAAGACTCGGTCACTTTCGCATCCCATCTGACTCGATTGCTGTTTGGGGATGTCTGCGCACGGCCCCGGCGGTGATCAGGGACCGCCGTCGAGGTCTGGCCGGGAGGGTTGAGCTCCGGGTCTCAGAGTGTGTCGAGGGGACTCCATGCGGAGGAGAGGGGTGAAGGGTGGGTAGACGGCCATGGGTCCCGCATGGCCATGTGATGGTTATGAGGGCGATGAGCGGGAATTATTCAGATTTCCGTGGCTTCTGCATGCAAGCACTGTGGGAACATGCACCTTTGCCATGCGGGAGGCTGCCGTATGGGCAGAGGCAGACGTGGTGGCATTCGATATCATGGCTGTGCTATTGAGACTCGGTCAGGGTCATGGACGATACTTTTGGAGCTGGCCCTACTGCCCTACCGGCGATACCGCCGGCCAGATAGAGTTGGAAAGTTAAGAGTACGTGATTCAGGTGCTTTACGTCGTATGTCTTGTCATCCAAGGCCCCTGGTCTTCACATCTGGGCCCTTCAGTGACGGGTCATCGTCGTCACTAACAGACGAAATGTCCCCGACACGGCAGTTTACGGCGTTTGACGGGTTCCCAAGAGCGTGCTTCGTTCGCGATAAAGACATACCTTGGCAAACTCACGCGGCAGTGGCAGACACTCGCTGAATCCATGCTTCCGGTTCATCCGGCACACACAACTCTGTCGCAGTTTACCTCGCGAAATAGCACAAAAGAAGTTCGTCTGCCCTGCCAAGACCTCGTGATATCTGGTCCGTGGCCAACATCCTCTTGGCCGTTTAGTCAGCCGGCGAGCCGGCGAGAGGGCCTAGACCCGAATTACCATTCGGCGAATTTCATGTGGGGGTCCGTCGTTGACAGCGGGATGCTGGCATGGGATTCTTGTCCTCTCGTCCTGTGCCAGCGGCCGTCCCAGGGCCTCCAGGGGACCTGACCTTGGACGAAAGACACAGTGCCTCGCCGTACCGTCCTGGCAGACAGAGAGGGTCGGTTCCATTGGGGAGGATGGTGAAACTGGGCCACCGTAGTATTCTAACGTCTGAGTGATATTAAGCATGATAACGTTACGGGCGTGCGGATTGTTTTAGGCGGTATATTTCATGACTACGACTTACTCCCCACTGGGTTTGGACCCTGATGGGCGATGGTGTTGAGGAGAGATGATGCCTGTCCCGTGCTTGACGTGATTACGTGCTTCAAGATGGACTCTTCTCCCGAACCGCGCCCGTTCATTCGGTGTCTGTTCCGTGAAAGTATGGGCCCGTCCTCTGAAATTCAATCCGGAGGGAGAGAAAGCAAATCCAGGAAACCGGGCTTTCGGTGGAGATGGGCGGAAGGGATTCGTAGTCCAAGAAGGCTTGGATTTGCATCCCCACACGCAACTCGTCATCGAGACTTTGCTGGGGGAATGTGGGAAGACGACTATCGGGTCGCAGGGAATGGAGGACCGGAAAGGTCGCTGGGGAATCGGCACGGTGTTGAGGGAGGCTCTTGCGTCCGGAGCTGCATACGTGTATTGTGGAATCCGTAAGTGGAGAGGAGGGCATTTGCAACTATCGAGGTGCCAGCCTGCTGGGAACTGGCCTTTTCTGAAAGGGACCTTCCAGGATGCGCCCTTGTGAGAGTCATGAAAAGGATATCTTGCCAAGACAGCTTGGGAGCGATCAAAGCTCCCTCCCACCATCCGAGGCACGGAAACTTGCGATAAAGAGGATGATCCCATCTGCAACCACGTTTTTCTTCTCATTGCTCTTGGGTGCGTGGCCCTCCAGGAAGTCGTTCATGCGATCGAAATCAGGGAAATTCGCAATAGCTTGATGTTTCTAATGTTTGGACTCTTCCTCGCAACCAGAGACAAACGCAGCTGTGTAGGGTCACAGGCCGGAACAGGCCGTGAGGAAGACGGTTCTTCGGATAGGCGCTTGTGTCTTGAGTTCCGTCGTCAGGTTGTATCAACGGTGCAGACTGTCTCGCGAGCGTCGAGAAAACGTGGAGCTGCAACGGAAGATGATGGGATGGATTAAGACACACTTTTCCCTTCGCTATTGGTCGCGTCGGATTGGAACGCGGCCAATGCTGTGTGCGTCTGAACTCTCAGGTGTTTGACCAAAGAGAAAGGGGGAAAGGTGAGCAGGAAAAGTTGGGTTGACTTTTCCTTCCCCTTTTCGAGAACATTTCTCTTCCGGGCAATGTCGTACCCGCACGGGATGCGAACGGAGTTGCTGGAAATCAGTGGCCCGATGATGTTGGTGATGGCTGCACACGGAGTCGGCGCCGGTACGGTACGGCGTGGCGCTCGCTT